TACTAGGAGCAAGAAGCTACTAGGGGCTCCTGGCCTTACTAGTAGTAACAAGAAGCTAGTAGAAACAAGTGCCACGAAGCTAGTAGAAACAAGTGCCACGCTAGTAGTAACAGGTGCCGTAGTAGTAGTAACAAGAAGCTATTAGAAACAAGTGCCTTACTACTAGGAGCAAGAAGCTACTAGGGGCTCCTGGCCTTACTAGTAGTAACAAGAAGCTAGTAGAAACAAGTGCCACGCTAGTAGTAACAGGTGCCTTACTGGTAGTAACAACGTTTGCTATTGGAAACAAGTGCCACGCTAGTAGTAACAGGTGCCTTACTAGTAGTAACAAGAAGCTAGTAGAAACAAGTGCCACGCTAGTAGTAACAGGTGCCTTACTAGTAGTAACAAGAACCTAGTAGAAACAAGTGCCACGCTAGTAACAAGAAGCTAGTAGAAACAAGTGCCACGCTAGTAGTAACAGGTGCCTTACTAGTAGTAACAAGAAGCTATTAGAAACAAGTGCCTTACTACTAGGAGCAAGAAGCTACTAGGGGCTCCTGGCCTTACTAGTAGTAACAAGAAGCTAGTAGTAACAAGTGCCACGCTAGTAGGTTGATTTGAAGTTAGAGCCGCAAAGGGTCCAGAAAGAGCGACTAGCGCTCTTTAGCTCGCTATGCTGACCAAAAGCTCTTCATTGACTTGCCGGTGTCAAATCATGTTCTAGAGCTTTATACGGTTTCTTATCAGATGTGATTGGTCCAACCAACCCTTCCAGGAAACAGGCAATCTGATTCTGTCATATTCGCCTTGATATGTTCTACGCACGAACTTCACGAAAACGGAGAGTTCCAAGTTTGGAGAATGAAAGGACAAGACGGAAGAATGGAACACAAAGGACGCTACTAGGGGCTCCTGGCCTTACTACAAGGAGCAAGGACCCTACTAGGAGTACAGCAAAGTTTGCCTCCAGGAGAAGGGCTACGCCGTGGAAAGCCAGCGCTTGATGTACTTTGGGGGAGAGCTGGAGGACCAACACCCAGAAGAGCGCGAGCTGAAGACTTCACACCCACAGAAAGAAGCAGACGAAAAGAGGCAAAGTGAACTGAGAGGTCACTTGTTTCTACTAGCTTCTTGTTACTACTAGTAAGGCACCTGTTACTACTAGCGTGGCACTTGTTTCTACTAGCTTCTTGTTACTATTAGTAAGGCACCTGTTACTACTAGCGTGGCACTTGTTACTACTAGCTCAACTTTCAGAAATCGTTTCAAGAAGTCCAAGGATTGTTTAGGTGCCTTTGACCTGCATCAGTTTGCAATTGGCATGATTTGTGCGTGGTTCTTGAGCAGAGGACACTCGGACGCTGGAGAGTGCGGGCATGTGCAACACAGCAGCTTGCACATTCAGGAGGGAAGTAGCGTCCTTGCTCCCAGTAGTGAGGCCAGGAGCCCCTAGTAGCGTCCTTGCTCCTAGTAGCGATGCCCTTTGTTCCTAGTAGCCTCTTGCTCCTAGTAGTAAGGCCAAGCTTGGAAGCAAACAGAACATGTATCATGCCCAGCATGTCCAAAGATTTTACTCGAAACTGTTCGTTCAACCTTTTGGAAAGGACAACAAATTGATGACTACGTCCATGTTATACTTTTCTTCAACGGGTCGACTTGTGATGTCTAAGGACGATCCTTTGCTTCACATGATTCCGAAGGCGTGAGTAGGTGTGAGTCCCATCTCTTATGTTTCACCTCGTTGATACTAGTAAGGCACTTGTTACTAGAAGCGATGCACTTGTTCCTAATAGCTTCTTGTTACTACTAGTAAGGCACCTGTTACTACTAGCGTGGCACTTGTTACTAGTAGCGTCCTTGCACCGGGTGCGTCAAATCGAAGGTCGAAGTTTTCCGCGAATCCGTGCCTGCGGAGAAATGGAGACTCCGAAATTCGCACGAAACTCGGGTGCCCACCGGACCGTCAAATGAAGCAACAGGACGTGTGAATTGTCGCTACCCTTGACAAGAGTGGTTTCTTCGGAAAGAAGGATGACATGGCTTGACATCATGACTCAAGAAATGAACCTCGGAAAAGTACCAAAAAAGGTCCAAAAGGAAAGGAAGAACAACGTCTCACGGTCTGAGGAAAGAAACACGGAAACGACACAAAATAAAATGGAACAAGAAGCTATTAGTAACAAGTGCCACGCTAGTAGTAACAGGTGCCTTACTAGTAGTAACAAGAAGCTATTAGAAACAAGTGCCACGCTAGTAATAAAATAAGAAACGACACTTGCAAAAAGGTTCTCCTTCACCCGCGCAGGTGAGGCACTTGGTCCCGGACTTGACTGAGCCTGAGGATTGGGGTAGGCCGCTAGTAGCTTAAATCGATTTAAATAGCTGTAGCTACTACCTTGGACGCAGGATAGCTCGCGCTTCTTCAACGAAACTCCCCCCGCCGCCCTGGCGAGCGGCGGGGCAAGCTTCCTTGAATTGAAGAAGCGCTTGCACTAATGATTTGGTTCCTAGATTTTTAGGGAATAATCAGAGTGACATTCCAGGTTGGAGGCCATCGCTAGTAGGTTGGAGGTCATCGCTGGTAGGTTGGAGGCCATCGCTTCTAGGTTGGAGGCCATCGCTACTGGGTTGGAGGCCATCGCTAGTAGGTTGGAGGCCATCGCTAGGAGGTTGGAGGCCATTGCTCTTTGGCTAGTAGGTCGGAGGCCACCGCTAGTAGGTTGGAAGCCATCGCTAGTAGGTTGGAGGAATTGGAAGCCATGAATGGGGAGGAAATCGCTGAATGCCCTTTCACCTAATGAACTGGCAGGACTGGCCCTTTTTGCATTGCCGGCATGTTTTCTCAGGGCAAGGACGCTACTAAGAACAAGTGCATCGCCGCATCGCTTCAAGTAACAAGTGCCTTACTAGTAGTAACAAGAAGCTAGTAGAATTAGAATAGATGGGTCTCGGGTCTTCTCAACCATTCAATTTGCCACCATTTGCCATCATTTGCCCGTATGGCCTATGAGTATTCTCGTTTGTAGAAATTGTGGTTGAGCAAGGTGGTTTTCGCTTTGATGGCTGACTAATGAGGCTTATTCATATTCATGTCTTATACAATTGATTCTTAGCGTTTTACTTAGTTTTCCCATTCTTTTTGTTTTGTGCTCCTTTAAAGATCTGTGAGTTTTCAGAGAAATTTCCCTCCAGTTTCGGCTTGACATTATTGTGCAGGCTCAGTACTGTGAAGCGAGACGGCACGGCCTGCGCTGGGAGCCTATCCGGCAAATCATCCCGAACCCATCGGAATTGGGGCATTGGTGGATTCTGGACACTTTCAGGGTATTTTAGGCGTCATAGTCTTAATTAGTTGTCATCAAGAATCAAGACACTATATGAACTTGGCAGAAGGATGAGTCATGCGCCCATCAAGTCCCATCAAAAACGACTGGAGCGTTTCACTGGATTTTTTGTTGTCAAGAATAAAAGAGGCCAGGGCAGGCAAGGTGTGAAGGGACTTAACGGGCGCTGTCATGTGCTGCGTGTTTTGATAGATGTATGAACCTTGTATCTGTCGCGAACTTCTTGGTCCAAGGGTGTGTCAAGACTAAGAAAAGAGGGCAAAAACTTAGCATAGTCTCATATCCTTTGTTTCACAATGTATCATGCAGCAGCAATTACCCAATATTTGGCCGCGCATTTCATTTTCCCAACTCGAGGCCAACTGTTCTTGGCGACAAGGATGTTTGGGCTGCACCATACCGCCGGGCGAGGAGGAGATGAGAGATGATGAGAGCAAATGTTGATCGTTCTCGCGAGGGAATGAAACACTTCTGTAACACTACTCTGTTGCAACTTCTCTGTTCCGTCCCATTCTTTCCAACTTCCTTTAACTAACGACCCCGCTCGCAAAGCACATGTTCGGAAACGCCAAGGAACTTTGGGAAGTCATGTCTAAACGCCCTAATTACTCTTTCAAGAGGTCACGCGCCCCACCTCAAAATGTATAGATGAACATGGCGACATTGTTGCGAACATGATGCCAATGCGCAGACGATGACAATTTTACCCATGCGATGACTTCAAGAAAACAATGATGTGAGCTTGTGAAGTTGATTGCAACAATGAAGCGAAGCGGATGCAACACAAGTTTATGAAACCCGGGTCATTAGAGGCGGCCTGAGCAAAAGTACGTTCTTTTTTAGATGTTGGTTTTGTGTCTCTAACAATTGTAAAGTTTGTTCAGGATATCCACCTTATCGCAGAGGAATCCATTGCAGTGGACTCTGGGCAGATTACAGGCTGTCAGTTGCAAGTGGGTTTCGGAGTCAAGACATCCAACTTAGCTTCTCAGCTTTCTCACCGCCAGACAGACACGTTTTGCAGACGTTCAGGAGACTTCTGACCACAAAAGGCAATTGACACCTCACCATTTTATTGCCTTTGGAATCTCATCGCGTAAACATTTGTTACTCTTTCTTTGATGGCCAGTGGGAGTTTCTTGCTACAGGTGGGTAAATCACAGTTCTTGTGCCGATTCGTTACGCTGCAGCCTGCGCAAGCGGCTCAAACCCTCCCGGGCACGGGGATTGGTCTGCTTCTGAAGGCAATCACATCCGAATCTCAGAAGATACAAATCCGCGACAATCCACGTGATATCATTCTCAAGGCTTGATAAGAAAGACCAGGACCAGCTGACCAGCTGTTCCTTTCTTCGACTGGACAACAATTCTAGGCTGGAGAGAGATTCGGACATAGATTTCCTTCAGAAAGCTAGCCCAGACACATAACCTGCCTGGAATGGAATAATGGATGTTGAGGCAGGTTGACGTCCCCATGTCAGTTTTTCCCGAGAGCGCCTGCGAAGGGTTCTTCGTAAAAACATCTGCAGAACTACGTCTCATCTACATCTTCACATCTTCACCTCTGCACATCTACATTCTCATCTATATCTCTGCTCATCTTCACATCTACATTCACATCTGCACATCTACATCTCTGCTCATCTTCACATCCTCACATCTACATCACATCTACATTCTCACCTATAGCTCTGCTCATCTTCACATCCACATTCACATCTGCACATCTACATCTCTGCTCATCTTCACATTGATGAAGTGATAGAGTCATGTGATCATGAGAAGGTTGACTTGACCTTGCGTTCTCCACCTGGCCGTATGGCCCAATGAACAGGCCTTGAGCTAGTCCGCGCTGCGCCATGAGAAAGACGTGTATGATATCGTCGTGGGTTCGTTCATGAAATTGGATTTGTGTTGAGCATTGTTGGATTGTTGACATCCTACCGTTTCAGTGGTAGGCGGAGCGTGATTTCGATGTTTGGGACCACGCCAGATCCATGGTTGCATTGGAGGGCCACTCAAGCCGGTCAACCCGATGCTTCGACTAGGGCTGCTTCCTTTGGTCAACCGCAGGGATCGCAACAGAGCTTTGCACCACAGCAGGGTTCGCAAGGTTTCACAGCCGCAGCATTTGCTACATCCTTAGGATCCACAAGTGCTGCACCATCCGCAGGCTCTCAGAACCCACCTACCAGTGCCTTCATTTTGCTTGGGGAGAATGCACCTCCCGCCAGTGCTGTTCCACCACAGCCTACTCGCCAGTCACCAGATCAGCTCATTGCGAGTGCTTTGCATCAGGCCCTGGCAGGAGAAAAGCGTGCCATCCCGAGCTGGAATGGATCTCCTTCGACTTTGAGGTCATGGCTGAAGTTGTTGGCTGTTTGGGAGTTTGAGTCGACGGTTCCCATGGACAAGAGGGAAATCAAGTTGTTACAAAGTTTCCAGAGAACTCACAACCTCGTCGAATTGCAGATACTGTTCCTGTTGAAGTGTTGTTGTCCCCTCAAGGGTATGGAGCAATTTTGGCAGCAAGCACCACATGCAATTGATGTTTTTGTGTTGAAGGGGAGCGTGCGAAGGGTGAATCTTTCAGTTCATTCATTGCTACAAAGCAGTTGCAGAGGCAAGAGATGGAATCCCAGATGGGCGAGAGGATTTCAGATCGGTTGTGTGGCCGCATTCTGCTGAAACAGGCCAATTTGGATGAGCTGCAACGAGAGATGGTTTCTCTTCGAGGCCCAGTTCTTCGCACCTTTGATGAAGTTGCAAATATGCTCAGGCCCTTGGACAGGCCGGAAATGTTGGCTAAGGTGACCGATTCCTCATCCAGTGCCAAAGCCTATGCAGTGAGCTTTGAACAGGATCCACCTGGTCAGTCCGAGCCTGTTGACGAGATCGATGACAACGAGAGACAGATGCAGAAGACTGGGGTAGCTCAGATGAAGATGAAGAGGGCTATCCATATGTCTACTTTGAAGACCGAGAGCACGATGAGCTTGAAGCAGTTGAGATCATGGCATACCATGCCGCTTACAGGGATGTTCGCCGTGAGCTTCAAAAGAGAAAGAATGAACATGGCTATGTCTCCCGAGATCGCGCCAAAGGTTCTTCAAAGGGCTCTCGCTTTGTTCGCAAGGGCAAAGGAAAGAGCAAAGGAAAGAAAGGGAAAAAAGTTTTCAGCAGCGCAATAGCAACAAGGGCTATGAGGATGATCTGGAGCAACGAACACGTTGTTGGAATTGTCAGGAGTTGGAACACTTCTCAAAGAACTGTCCTTTGAGCTCCCGTGGAGCAGGTTCTTCAAGTACATCAGCCTCCACCAGACAACAACAGCAGTTTGTTGTGAACAATTGACAACAGTCGTTTGCAACTCAGCAGTACATGCAGTTTTCCATGCGTCCATTGCCAGGTCAGAATCCACAGGTTTTCACGCACGCAATGCAAGCGGCTCGCATTTCAGTGTATGCAGGAGTTGTTTGCACACCAGGTGAAGAATTGGTCGATACAGCACCAAAAGCGGTGATTGGCACACGTGCATTCAATCATTACAACAAGAGTTGAAGAAGCATGGATTGCAGACCTTGAAAGTTGACCCTTTGATGCCCCTCCCCACAGCAGGTGGAATCGGTGGCCAGGCGGCAGTGGAGTGCCTGGTTGAAATCCCCATCGGGGTTGCTGGCATCAATGGGCTCGTTCGCTTTACGGTTCTGAAGGATTCCAATGATTGCGCCACACCACCACTTCTGCCCATTTCGTCCCTCGAGACGATTGAAGCTTCGATATACCTTTTGGTGGCCGGCAATGGTAACACTGCACCCATGCGCCGGTTGCCAACCCGCCATCGGGCTACAAGCATCCTCAACTTCGCCGACAACAAGTGGAGTCTCCCGGTTCAGCACCGGAAGGATCCCGCCATTGATCCTTTTGAGATTCCTAGGCAGAGTCCTGCCAACCGGACCACGTCTTTTTGGCTACAACCTCAGGATTGTGTTTCAGTTTGGTTGTTGCGCAATGATGTGTTGATGCATGTACAAGACGTGCCGGAACGCCATACATAGTTGTTGCCATCACAATGCAGTGCGCTCAAACATTTTGAGCGTGAGCTGGAGCCAGAAAGGCTGGCGTATGCAACATTGACTGACGGCCATCAGATGGTTGCGCGTGATCGTTGGCAGTCATGGTCAGCAAGTCGCTCGTTGCTACAGCCTTACCACGGTTCAGTCATATTTCGCTTCGCCCAATGGTGCATTGGCTGACAGGATTTTGGGGGGAGAGTCGGATGTTGTCAGGACTGTTGACATAGCTGCAGCCC